GGGTCACTCGGGAGGGAAGCCTGTTTGTATGATTTCGAAGGCACATCCTTAGCCGAGTGGGGTCACTCGGGAGGGAAGCCTGTTTGTAACAACTTGAACGAATAAAAATACACAGAATGAGTTGAAATGTATTTCATTAATATGTGCCTCGTTAAAAACTTTGTCGGCCAAAACCCCTTTTCACTTTTTTATAAGGGGAGAAAAGACCGATCAAGGAAAAGAGTGCACTCTGTATACATTGATTGATACCCCTACAATACATTTTGTTAACTGAAATAAGCCTTCAAGTGAGTTGAATTCCAAGTAGGGAAGCCTGTTTATACGATTCCGAAGGCACATCCTTAGCCGAGTAGGGTCACTCAGGAGGGAATCCTGTTTGTATGATTTCGAAGGCACATCCTTAGTCGAGTGGGGTCACTCGGGAGGGAAGCCTGTTTGTACAATTCCGAAGGCACATCCTTAGCCGAGTAGGGTCACTCGGGAGGGAAGCCTGTTTGTATGATTTCGAAGGCACATCCTTAGCCGAGTGGGGTCACTCGGGAGGGAAGCCTGTTTGTAACAACTTGAACGAATAAAAATACACAGAATGAGTTGAAATGTATTTCATTAATATGTGCCTCGTTAAAAACTTTGTCGGCCAAAACCCCTTTTCACTTTTTTATAAGGGGAGAAAAGACCGATCAAGGAAAAGAGTGCACTATTGGACTTGTACTTAGTTTTATACACCCACTTTACTCCAATTGGCCTTTTATCTGCTGGTAAGTCTGTCAGCTCCCATGTTTGATTCTTCTCAATGGCATGAATTTCTTCATCCATTGCTTTTCTCCAATGTTGATTATTTGAAGCTTCTTCAAAAGTTACAGGCTCACAATCTGCAAATAAGGCAAAATTGATAATTTCTTCATCAGATGGATCATTATCATTACCCACAACATAATCCTCCAATCTGGCTGGTAGTCTCCTTTGCCTTTGTGGTCTGCTTGATGTTTCTGGTTCATCATGTGTTGGATCTACATGTCCATTCTCTTCTTCATAGTTTTCTGGGTTTATTACAGGCTCCTTTTGTGCTTTGAAAGACCAATCCCACATTCCTCCTTCATCAAAGGTCACATCTCTGCTAATAATAACCTTCTTTGTCACTGGATTGAAAAGCTTATACGCTTTTGAGTTGGTGTTGTAACCAATGAAGATGCACTTCTCTCCTTTGTCATCAAGCTTCTTTCTGAGTTGATCTGGTACATGTGCATATGCTATCCATCCAAAAATTCTGAGATGCCGGATTGGGGGCTTCCTTCCACTCCAAGCTTCTTCTGGTGTTTTATCACAAACACTCTTTGTTGGACACCTGTTCAAAATATACACAGCAATAGAAACTGCTTCTGCCCATCCTTATAAAAAAGTGAAAAGGGGTTTTGGCCGACAAAGTTTTTAACGAGGCACATATTAATGAAATACATTTCAACTCATTCAGTGTATTTTTATTCGTTCAAGTTGTTACAAACAGGCTTCCCTCCCGAGTGACCCCACTCGGCTAAGGATGTGCCTTCGGAATCATACAAACAGGCTTCCCTCCCGAGTGACCCTACTCGGCTAAGGATGTGCCTTCGGAATTGTACAAACAGGCTTCCCTCCCGAGTGACCCCACTCGACTAAGGATGTGCCTTCGAAATCATACAAACAGGATTCCCTCCTGAGTGACCCTACTCGGCTAAGGATGTGCCTTCGGAATCGTATAAACAGGCTTCCCTCCCGAGTGACCCCGCTCGGCTAAGGATGTGCCTTCGGAATCATACAAACAGGCTTCCCTCCCCAGT